AAAAAAAAAAAAAAAGAATAAACAATAAGGAAAGTCAACAAAACCTGAAGCCAACTCCTTGAAAATTATCACTAGAAGTGAAAATTTCTACTTAGATGGATTCAGAAATAAAGGACAACATAAAAACTGACCACTATTAGATACTACGTACATTAAGTGGATAACAAGGGAAGATTCTAAAGAAACTAAAGGCAAAATTGGATAATATAAATGATATGAACATCGCATTTGAAAAAGATGAATTACAAAAAAAAAAGAGAGAAAATATCAATTACCAAAAGAAAAAGGAAATCTGAAAATCTTAAACTACTAAAGATACTGATTTACAATTTAAAAAGTTTCCACAAAGATTTTTTTTTTCAGGCCCAGAAGACTTCAAAGTAAAAATCTATCAAACATTTAAGAATTAATGAGAATACCGTAGTAACTCTTTTTAGAAAACAGAAAACTGGGTAATACTTTCCAACTCATTTAATGAGGTGAATTTTGTACTGTAACCTAAACCAGAAAAATACATTAAAAGAAAATTATGGACCACTACCCATGATGAATACCAATACAAAAAAATATTAACAAAATCTTAGCAAACTGAATAAGAATTTCCTCAACCTGATGACATGCAACTACAAAAGACAGCTAATATCACATTTAACAGTGAAAGACCGTTTTCCCCATAAGATCAGGAGCAAGACAAGGCTGTCTACTCTTACCAATTCTATTCAACACTGTATGGAAAGTCCTAGACAGCACATAAAGAATGAAAAAGAAATAAAATCCTACAGGTTGGAAAGGAAGAAGGCAATTGTATTTACAGATGACATGACCGTATTCGAAGAAAGTACTAAGGAATCTACAAAATAAGGTACTAGAAATAACTGAATTTGGCTAGGTCACAGCATAAAAGACCAAAATTCAAAAACCATTTTTATTTTCATATGCTAACAACAAATAACTGAAAGTGAAATTAAGCAATAAAATTAACAAAATATTTGAAGGATCCATATACTGAAAATTATAAAATACTGCTGAGAGAAATTTAAAAAATCTAAATAAGTGGGGAGATATACCATATCCATAGATTGGAATATGTGTTATTATTAACGTATCAATTATCGCCAGCTGATCTATGAAGTCTTCAAAACCCAACCACTATTCAGGTGTTTTTGTAGAGACTGACGTGACAAATTGATTTTATAACTGTATGGCCGTGTAAAACGCTGAGCATATCTAAAACAAGTTTGAAAAAGACAAAGTTGGAAGATTCACATTATTTGATTTCAGGACTTACTGTAAGTCTACATTAATCAAGACTATATGATATTGGTGAAAGGAGAGAAATATACAGACCAATTGAACAGACTACAGAAATACACCTACACATATATGGTCAATTGTCAACAAAGGCTCCAGGATAATTCAATGGAGAAAGGACATCTTTTTACAATGACTCTGGAAAAACTGGGTATTCATTAAAAAAAAAAAAAAAAGGAACTTCAACTCTTACCTTATAGCACACAACAAAATCAAAATGGATGTTATATTTACAGAAAATCTAAAACCACAACACTTATATAATAAACAAAATATCAAATACAACCGTGGGGTATGTACAGATTTCTGAGGTAGAACACAAAAAGCATGAATCATAAAATTTTAAAAACCAGATAAACTGGATTTCATAAAATTAAAAACTTCAGCTCTGAAAGATACCATTAAGAAAATAAAAAATAAAAAATCAGGCCAGGTGTGGTGGCCAAGGTGGGAGGATCATTAGAGGCCAGGAGTTCAAGACCAGCCTGGGCAACATAGAGAGCCCCCATCTCTACAAAAAGATTAAAAAATTAGCTGGGCACGATGGCATGCACCTGAAATCCTAGCTACTTGGGAGACTGAGGTGGAAGGATTACTTAAGCCCAGGATGTCAAGGTTCCAGTGAGCTATGGTCACGCTAGCCTGGGCAAAAGAGCGAGAACCTGTCAGAGAAAAAATAAAAAGCAACCATACCAAGTGTTGGTGAGGATATGGAGCTACTAGAACTCTCATACATTCATGGTGGGAATATAAAATGACACAACAGCTTTGCATAAGAGTTTGGCAGTTTCTAATAAAGTTAAACATATACTTTTTATACAACCCACAAATTCCAAACCTAGGTATTTACCCCCAAAAAATGAAAATGTAAGTCCATAAAAAGATTTCTACACAAATGTTCACAGGATCTTCATTCATAATAGTCAAAAACGGGAAAAAAAAGTAAATGTCTATCAAAAGGTGATGGACAACAAATTGTGGTACATTCATAAACTAGACTACTGCCACTACTCAGCAATATGAGGGATGTACTGACATAAAGAACAACTATGAATGAATTTCGAAAACATTATGTTGAGTTAAATAAACCAACCCCCCAAAAAGTACATATTCTGTAATTCCATTTATATGAAATTCTAGAAGAGGCAAAATTGTTATGTGTATTTTACCATAATAAAAAATTAAACAAAAAAGCCCAAGAAACACAAAGGGGTAAACAAGCACTGGGTGAGCACCTGGAGAACTGGAAAAGAAGTGAAGGGGTTCAATGGGAAGACAAGTGAGCACTATGAAAGCGCCACCCAAATAAAGATGGTTTCAGTGGAGATGGAGGGATCTGTGGTATGAGAAACAGGATTTGCCTCTAAATGGTTCTTCAGTGAAAGAGAGACATTTAACTCACATTAGCCGTGTGAACAGGTGGGCAGGGAATGGGACCATAGCCAGATTGGAAAAAATGAAAAAGAACAGGATGGGCAGGAGATAATGAAGTAAATCTCGGACATGTGCATGAAGGATCTGTGCAACATGTAGGTGGTGATATCAAGTTGGAGGCTGGATGTATAGTTTTGACTCTCAAGACACAGGTTTAGAATTTAAATTATTTGAGCATCATTCAAGTAACAGTGGTAGAAGATGAATAGGGAACAGGAGACTGTCAAGAGAAGAGAACCAATACGGAATCTGGAGAAAAACAGTGTTGAAGATACATATTCTGAATGAAACAGGAAAGAGCAGTGTCTTTGAAACCAAGAGCAGAATATTTAAGAATTATACTCCTAGCTCAGTATGGTGGTATATACAGATACATTTACTTCTACATCCAAATATAAAATTAGAGGAAATGTAAAAATAGGAATGAATCTATAACACTATCAATATACTGAGAAAGATGTTCTTTGAAGGCTACAGATTTTTAGGAATTGTTAGCAGCTGTGAGCAAAACTGAAGGAATAGACAGGAGAAACACAGGAGTCTCAGTTCTCTGTACGAGCTGCCAATCACATCTCCATCCTCAAAGCCTGAAGACAAAGACTTCCTGCCACTTACTAACAGCAATCTACCAATTTCACCTCAATCTTCACTCAGGTGTGTGGATGTGATAAAGCCTTACATCTTTTTTATCTGCACGAGACAGGTTTACTTCATAATATATTCTCACTGAATTCAAGGAAATGCATTTTTGTCCCAGCATACTTTCTGGGAGAAGGGTGAGAAAGGAGATGGTGAATGATATAACCACTTAATGTACGAACATTGGTTAAAATCAGCACTATTTGTGGAAGATAGAGGCTCATCTGACCAATACAGGAAGAGATGGGGATCAGTTTCCTGAAGGGGAAGAGAGGCAGGAGGATTTAGGACAAAAAAGGCAAATACTCAAATATTCTTAGGAAAAAAAACAGAGACTTTCAGAAAGGAGACAGGAACCATTACCTCACCTGAGCCATGGTTTTGAGATGTGCAAGAGAGGACCAGTCTTTCCTTTGTGCTCCTCTTTAGAAAAGGGGCAGTTCCTAAGAAGGCAAAGCCAAGTAAAAAAAAAAAAAAAACAAAAAAAACCAACATGAGATCACACATGCCTTACAGCTCTCTCATGACTTATAACTCAATTAAAACTGCCTCCATTTCCCCTGTATTGGCCCTTGTCCACTCTGTACCTCCTGCATAAATATAGAGGGGACAACAGGCTAGATAAATTGTTTTATCCCTGAGGCCAGAGATACAGGCTCTTGGGACAGCAGGATGGATTTTGCACAAGCTTCTCTCCCCTCAAGCACTACCTTTTCTATCCTAAGCAGCCTACTGTTATTAACCATTTCCAAGCTGCTCTCCATCAAGCCTGTACCATTTATACCATCACCAGCAATATATGAGAATACCTGTCACCCCACACCCTGAGGAAGACTACTGATAGAAAC